GTGGGGCTGTCTTCCTGGCTTCAATGGCCAGGGGATGCAGTGCTGCCCCTGCCATGGTGAAGACTCTGTTACAGGGAGAGAACACACTGGTGTCCCCTCTCGGTTAATGCTGGGACTGGTGCCCTGATCACTCTTCCCTTAGTTTCTGCACTACCCTGAAAATCACGTCCTCAAATATAGCTCTCCATGTCTATGGCATGCTTACACTGCAAGCAAATAAGATGTTGTAGTGGATTCGGGCATTCCTGCTTAGACACTGATCCATTTAGAACAGATGAGAATCGTATAGGAGATGCTGAACCTTGGGGCTAGCTAGCCAATCAAGGAAATGCCTGCAGAGGACTGTAATAAGTCCCTATTGCCACTGCTAGGATAGCACCAGGCAGATGGTGCTCTAACTGCTCCACCTTTTTAAAGCTATATAAAAAGGGAGATGGGAAGCAATGCTGCAACTATAGCCCACCCAATGAAACTAGCAGAACTCCCAAGGGGTGGGGTAAGGGTGAAAGGACTGAGCAGGGAGGTTGCTATAGATGGCTTTCCAGCAGAGGGGGAGAGGCTGAAAAGCACAAAGAGGGACTAGTAGCAGAAGACTGAAGTACTACGGAGTGCAGTAAGTTTAGTGTCTTCAAGAGAGGCTTGCCATGCCATTTGCAGCTTAACTGATGTTGCATCTTGGTCCACATTCTAGAGAAGAGCAGTGCCTATTAACACACTTCCCAAGATGTGGTCCATTCCAGTTCCAATACCATGCTCGTTGCCCTGCTAAACCTACCTCTTTTGCAATGTATGTAGCATTGTGGGTGATTTATGTGGCACCTCTCACTTGTTAGTCTATTTTAAACTTTAAGGAGGTGTCCAGAGCAAATCTAAGTGAAGTCTCCAGCAGTTGCTATGTGTCTTCTGCCTTGGACCACTTCAAAAGACCAGTTGCCTTTGCCTCGTGAAGATGCACCCTTCTCAGGTTGAAGAAAAAAGTTGCAGAAAACCAACAACGGGCACCAGCTCTTCCTTCAAATGTACAGAACCTCTGGATTTCCAAAGGAACGTAGGAGAGCAGCACACAGTACAGGAAACGATGCATACTCTGCTGCCTAGCTCAGTGCTGCTCCTGATGTAAATGCAAACTGTGGCCTGAACAGAAGTGTAACAAAGCACCTGGGTGCCTGGGGTAGCAGAACAAGTAGGGGGCAACGGTGATTTCAGCTGCTGCTCTGGCAGCAGCTAATGATGTTTCCCTGTCTCTCCCCTCAAGCTGGTATTTAGGGCAGCTGCCTCGGTTGTTCCCCCTTAGTTACACTACTGGGGCTGAAGGAGAGTGAAGAGCTCACTGTGATGCCTGCTAATAAATAGAAGCTAACAACTGTCTGAGAACTCCACATGGATGGAGATGCTGTAGGCACCTGTTGATGAGCAAGGGGAACTAATTGTTTAGGCCTGGCCTCACCTGATTTTCTGCTGTATGGCAGTGCAGGGCAGTTAATCAATCAAAAAAAAAAAAATCTCTTGAGTTTTGACGCTGGAATGAGGATAATGAGGTGTAGTAGCTACCTGGGTGGAAGTCCCTGTGAGCAGCAGTGTAAAGAGGGACTCTTGTGAGGGTCTCCCTGTCCAGTAGCACTAGAGTTATGATCACTTCAGGATATGGAATGGACAAGTCTCTAGAGACTTCACAGCCCTTTAGTGGGCAAGAGATCAACCTGGCCCAACTCTACTCTTGGCCTGTAGGAGTATGACAAGGGGTGAAGGGTAGTGGCTAGCTACCTTATCAGCCATGGGATGGATTCAGGACCACTGGTGAGGTGTTGGTGTCACCTGTTGCTTTATTAATTGGGTTTTCCTAGGTTGCTGTCTTACTGTTTTTTGTTTTCATTTTGGATCTGTCTGTAACTCTAGGACTCCTTGCTTGTGGTCATTTTTTGTTTTTTGTTTTTGTTTTTGTGTTTTTCCTCCTTCCTAAGTGCCTGGATTTAATTTCCTAGGATTCTGGCTGAGGCATTTAACATCCTTTTTTTGGGGGGTGGGGGGAGGATGGACAGAAAAGCGGGGGGAGAAGGCAGGGAGGGGGCTGATTCCACAGCCCTCTTCTACTGCCAAGCAGCACTTGGCTGGCAAGAGGATTACATAATTGTGTAACTTTCCAATGCAATCCCCATAGATGGGGATTACTAAAACAGAAAATGGGAGAAAACTGCAGAAAGATAAAGTAGAATGGAAAGAAAATTATCTTCTAATCCTCCCACCCTCTCTTGGAGAGATGTCAAGCCCTAGTCAGATTATACTGGGAATTAAGGAACTTCAAAGAGAGTCTAATATATTAAAGTTGAGTTCCAGTCTTATTCAGGTGTGGTACCTATGTTCTCAGAGACCAATTTGTAGAAAGGTTATAGGATTCTTTAGAGTGTTAAAAATGTCTTTTTTTTTTTTCATGCTGCCCATGACTGTGGGCAGTTGTCCTGCATCTAGTGCAGCCAAAGGAGGATAAGATGAATATTGTACCTTAGTGAAACTTCTATGCTTCTTTGAGGATTAAAATATGAAGGAGGCAGATGCATTGCATGATAAACTGGGTGCATCTACACATTCATTTAATGCTCCATAGCTATTGCATATTAAATTTAGTACCTGCATAACCAAGTACTAAATAGATATGCAGTAACTGGCACTACTGTGTAGTAGTGGCAGTGCACAGCTTTAGTGACACTAACTACACAATAGTCTCGCACTACTGAGCAGTAACGTATGAACACGGGTATTAGGCTACTGTACAGCTAGCATCTTGTGTAGGTGCACCCACTGTGATGTAAAAGGAAGACAGTTTACTAGAGAGAATCAATATTTTTTTCCCAGTGGGGTTTTTGTGGGTGGGGGAGGGGATGCTAGATGTAAAGAACATTTACAAAGTAATCTATGAACTGGTGAAAAAAGTAAATTATTTCTGCCCCTCCAAAATTTTCTTTAAGTCATTGAACTTAAAAAATTGAATCTCAGAAATAAAGCCAAGCCAGTCATGTGACTAGGGTGATTTTACTATATTGATTTGTGCCTTTTTAAATTGGCTACTTGTTTCAGGGACAAAAAGTATGCCACAAAATAACCCCAACATTAGTCTCTCACAGATGGCTGTTTTTTTCTGAACTTGGCTGTCTTTCCCCACTCCAGAAATGTCTCCCATAGATTTGCTGTAGACATATTCCTATCATTTTTAATCCTGTTTCTTCTAGTAAAGACCATACTTGTGTTTTATTTCAAGCACTTCCTCCTTTCTCCAGTGAAATGCATATTGCAGGGTAAAAAAATTTAAAGCTGAGGCTAGGCTAATATGTTTGGCTGAGGAAATGGAGGTCTAAAGAAATTACTATAGTGAAGAAACAGTTGTGTAACATGTACCTCCTTCCTCTGTCCTGCATGGGAATTTTAAAAGACTGAGATACCCTGCTCCCTGAGGCTTATGGGAAAAGTCTCACTTAGAATTACATATTGGTGTTTATATAAACATAACATAATACAGATGTTCTCTCCAAAAATGTTTTCTTATTTAAAGTAAGATATTCTATGTAACACTTGTTTTCTCACTGTCTAGAATATCACTTTTTTTTCTCCTTTTTTTTTTTTTTTTTATATATACTACTTATACGTATGGAATAGCTTCCTTGTTCGCCTTGGTTCTATACTGAATAGCTGTGCTTTTACAGACTGTCTCAAGAGAACATTGCTAAGGCTGTAAAATCTAGTACTCTCAAGTTAGGAAATGCCAGCATTAAGGTTGAACAAGCAACTTTTAATTTTATTCCCTTCTAGACTTGCGCATTGTGAAGCAATCTTTATTTTCACAATGCTATACTTTTTTCTTTCTGCAGACCCCTGTATCGCTCTGGATGTGGAATAAATAGTACCCGCTTAACAAGAGGGTCTTATATATTTGGCGTTACCTTCGCTGGTCGGTTTGTAGCCTTGCCTTGCATATCGCATGCTATTCACACTCTGAAAAGAGTTGTTAACATCTTCATGGACTTCACATTAACTTTCAGCATGACAGAGATGTTATCTAGGCACTCAAACATTAAATCTTGTATTTATCTGACTTTTCCACTTTAAATTTCTTCCCTTTACTCCATATTCAACCCTTTTTCCTCACCATATCTCAGTCCTAGTCTTTCTCTTTATCTGCTCTTTGTTTCCCTACCACCTACTTGCTTTCAGTCTCAATTACCATATTTTCACGCATATCCTGCGGGGTATACGCGATTTTACAAAAAAAAAAAAAAAATGGATGGGTGCAGGCTATTGGCGGACTTTTTTTTTCCCCCTGTGGGGGGCTGGGGCCCGGGCAGGCCGGGCTGCAGGGGCCCGGGCGGCCTATACATGGACGTAATTGCAAAAATACAATTTTCCACGGGTTACATGTGGGTGTGTCTTATACCCGTGAGTAGAGTATATGCGCGAAAATATGGTACTCTGTCCAGAAGTCCATGCTTGCTTCTGCCTTGCCCTCACCCTTGCTAACATCCACCATCCGCTTGGTTCCTAGCCTCTGTTCCTTTATGCCTATAGTCCATAGTCTTCTGTACCTCAACTCTCAGATTCTCTTTCCTGTCATCCTCCAGGCCCAGTTTCTAATCCCACCCAAAGTCTCTTCTAATTTACTTCTGCAAATCTCTCACAAGTATGGTTCTTGTTCCTTCAGTTTTTATCAAAAGCAGCTTTCTAACTCACAAGATCACCATTGGGAGTACAGCAAACACAAAGTTATTTCTTTTGATTCAAGCCCCCAGGCCCAGTACTGCCTGCAGCAGCCCAGAGTGGTAACTGCAAGGAAAGTATTTGTCAGCTTGAGCTGGAATCTGCAGGGAATTTACTTGCTGAAAGCATTTTACAAAGGGCACTACAGTGTTTTTTTTGTTTTGTTTTGTTTTTTTGTTTTTTTTCAAAAGGCTTAACAGTTCACTTAATTTTAAAGTGTTCAAATTTTAACTACCATGGACTGAACATGTTTCCATAGTCATCTTCTCAAACTGCTTCCCTTTTCATTCAAAAACTTTTTTTCTTCTAATTTAGTTCATCCAGAGGCAGATGCATAGCATTTTTACATAACATTTTTTCCAGCAAAGGTGTATCCAAAATATTTTTTGTAATTGTGATGGGTTAAAAAAAAAATGTCAGCTATCTCAAAACTGGAGTTTAAACACCTTGCCACAAGTGTAATGGGTGTAGCTTTGTGCTGAGCCTTTAAGGTCAAGTCCTACCTTGATAATATGGACTTGAGCGATACGTTTATGCTTAAACACATGGACCACTAAAAACACCAAGGCTTAATTCCCAGCAGTAGTCTTGTACAAGCCCTAAAGCTTTCCTGAATTTTATAAAGACAGCCCAGACCCCACTCACCTCCAGGCTTACTTTCCCTCCCTAAAACTCTTTGGAACTGACCTTAGCAGTGCAGACCACAAGCACAGTTGGAGTTGTAATCCTGCAACTTCCAATTCCTGGCTTCTGCTTCCCATATGTCATTACTCTTTTCTCCTGGGAAGGAGTACTCATGACTTAACAGCTGTGAAGTAAAAAAAAAATGGGTCATTAACAGGCCATTGACTCCCTAACCTGCAGGGGTGGAGAGAGTGGGGCAGTTTCCCAGATTTCACATTGTCACATATGGTAACTCTAGTCTATGACAGCAGCATACTGAAGCAGGGATGCACTATGGCCCCCACTCTTTTTGGCATCCCAAAGCACCCCTCCTGACTTGCTTCTTCTCCTTCAGTGGGGCCTGGCAATCCAGTCTTAGCTGCCTTACAGAGAACCCAAGCCAGAAGAATTCTCCTTTTAGCTGGAGATGGGAAGCTCTCAATTGTTGCCCAGGTCTTTCCACTGTGGATGAGCATGACCAAACCTTTGGCAAGTCACTTAAATCTAGATTAAGCTGGAAGTCATGAAAAACTCTGATCTCATAATTAACAGTTTTGTGCCTTGACCATATTTACTCACTTCTTTTTAAAAGAGCAGTTTGAGCTGACAGTGGGAGATGGATGAACTATTCATAGCAAATAAATTATCTGCCCAACATAGCCTTTTAGTCTTTTTGTGAATTGTCAGTGAATAGCCTGATTGTTATGAATATGCTCATTATTTTTAATCGTTCAACAAACAACTTATCCGAACCTGATTTATCCTGTGAGTTGTTTGTGATCTATTTGCTAAGACTGTGTCTTTGATTATTCATTAGACATGCCTGTGATCAGTGCCTATTGTTTCTGTTCCCAGATAGAATACCTAAAGTATTAGCAATAAGCATGCTTGTCAGGGGTCCTAGTAGGCAGCCTAGCCTGGGATAATTGCCTAGTTGGCCACACCTGCCTGGGGCTCTGACTGACTGGCCCTTGCCCAGCTAATGACTCCTCCATCTGAGCTTCCTGATCTGGCTACTGGGAGAGCAGCCTACCCATTCACTTTGAACTGTGGCAACAGACTCCAAACCAGGCAACAACTCTTGATTTAAGGTCTGCCTTGGCAAGCCTCTGAGATCTAGTGGCTCCTGGGTTCCTCCTTCAGCTTGCTCTATTTCTAGACTGGTTTCTGAATTTCTCTGTGGATTTGGTTGTTCAGCTCTGACTCCTGAACTGCAGCTTGACCTGTGGTAGTTTTTTATTTGTATTTTAGTCCTGTGTTGGATTCTGCTTTCAGCTACCAGAGGAGGGCCAGAGATGAACTACTGGGTCAGACATCAGACCACCCATGACCTAGTTCATTACAATGCTAATGTTATTGTTAACTTGTTATCCAAAGCATCCACTACACATTTATGAACATATCAAGCTAACCTGGCTCAAGAGTTTTTAGCTTTTAAAAGTAAATTTAGCTAGTAAATGCCAACATAAGTTACCAAAATTACTCTAAAAGCAGATGCTAGGTAACTGTCTTTCAACTTTTTCCTAAATGCTAATAAACCTTTCTTTGCGAATATGGTTTTGTTTTGTTTGTTTTTGGGGGGTTCCCTTATGAAGACGGAAATAGACTGCAACTTTTACTCAAGTTAGTGGATTGGGTGGGAGTTTACATAAATTGTCCGATGGAAGTCGAAGCATATGTCTTGCATCTACGGTGGCAGTCCAAATGGAATTGCTGCTTGCCAAATGAATGTTTGATAGCCTATGCTACTGCATCTGTACTACTATAAGTATACTTGAACAAGCTAAGTTATGGTTAGTTTTGGCTATGTCAACATCCAGGCTTCCCTCAGTTTATGCTGTACATGCATTCCTGGAAAATGGTGCATAACTAAAATTCACATAAAGGAAGCCTACTTTATAATGTAACAAATAGAGACATTCCAAGACCTCAACTGTGCTGACTCCCAGATCCATTTCTATCACTCTTACAAGATAATTCTGGTACTTGCCAACAGCAGACAGTACACACAAGCACAGGCTGGTAGTGAATGTTACCATAATGGGGATGGCAATTACAGAAACACGTGTTGCAGACAAGGAGTGAGGAGCGCAGATCCACACTGAAGACCATTTTGGTGTGTGTCACTCCCACAATGTACTGCACAAAGCAGCTGACTGGACTTCCACCACACTAATCACATAAGCATATATGCAAGGTAAATTTAACAAACCTTCAGTATAAAAAGGTCATCGCATAAGAGCAAATTCGCGCATGCAGAATCTGCATAAAGTGAGGGGAAACCTGTAGACTACAATTGCATCTTTACAGATGGGTGAAGTGTTGCTGGATATGCCTTTTTTTAAAAATGGGCTTCTTATTTATTTTTTATGTAGGCTCATAAGAAAGTAATACCCCATGAGGTCATCTACTCCTGCCCCCTGCTCAAGATAAGGTTGTCCCTGATTAAACCATTCTAGCCAAGTGTCTGTCCAAACTGCTCTTGAAAATTTCCAGGGATAGCAATTCCACAGCTTCTCTAGGTAGCCTGTTTCAATGCTGGCCCACTCTCATAGTCGGGAAGTTCCTCCTAATCTCCAACCTAAATTTCCTCTGTTGTAGCTTGAGGCCATTGCTTCTAGTCTTGTCCCCTACAGCCACAACGAGCCCATCCATCCTCTAAGACTGTTATCAAATCCCTGTCAGTATTTCTTCTCTAGGCTAAATAGTCCTAGCTCTTTCAGCTTTTTATCATAAGTCTTGCTTCCTAGGCCTCTAATAATTTGTTGCTCTGCACTGGATTCTCCAATCTTTCCACATCCTTTTCAAAGCATGGGGCCCAAAACTGGACCTGGTACTGCAGAGGAGGTCTCACCAGTGCTGAATCACTTCCCTTGATTTGCAAATAACATTCCTATTAACACAACCTACTATGGGTTTTTTGTTTCTTTTGCAACAAGAGCACACTGAATCATACTCCACTTATGGTTTACTGTAATCGCCAGACCCTGCCCTGCACTACTAAAGTCTAGCCAGCCATTTCCTAGTCTGTATTTATGCATGCACAAATTCCTTGTTGAATTTTATCTTCTTGTCCGCAGACCATTACTCCAGTCTCTCCAGGCCATTCTGGATCCCATCCCTACCCTCCAGCATGCCTGCAATTCCACCCCACTAGGTGTCATCTGGAAATTGGTTAAACATGCAGTCGTTCCCATTGTCCAAATCATTAATGAAGATGTTAAACAAAACTGGACACACAGGCGCTTTTTTGTTTGTTTGTGGTTTTTTTGGGTTGTTTGTTTGGTTGGTTTTTTAAGGAATGTAAATCCAAGTAAGTTTGACTTTGCTATTTTCTTACTGCCAGTGAAAGACCAAATTTGGTGGAAACATCAGAATTTCTGGAGAGACAAGTCACCCTGCAGTAGGTCCTGTAGGTCATTCTTCCCATGTTCCAGCTTAGATGGTTGATCCAGATTTTAGCACATTAAATTTGGAAGGCATTGCGTCTGATCCGGGATTTATAGGAGTCCTCACTACA